TGTGTGTGTGTGTGTGTGTGTGTCAATGGGGACAGGGGCCATGGCTTTCAACAAAGTTTCAGTGGCATCTGTGAGCCAGGAAAGGTTCAGAACCACCAGCCCCCTACAGTGCCTGGTGAAAAAGGGCAAAGCCACATTCCCAGGGTAACCCAGCGTCCAGACCAAATCCCCACTCCAGGGCAGGAGTCATTGGCGTGGCTCCAAGTGGTGGGATAGAGTCATGCTACCAGTCAGTTAATGAAGGGAGTGTCACTTCACAGAAACCTGTTTCTGCCTGGCCACCCCACCCTGGAAACTGAAAACTGGTCTGGTGCTGGGGAGAGGCATTCCCTCAGCAGGCGTGCTCCAGGGAGAAGCGGCTCTGCCCGCTGAACTGGCCTTGCCCTCCGACTTGGGTCAAGTCCACACCCAAGGCAACCAGCCCACAAGGGAGACAATGGGCCTGATTCTCATCTGCAGACCCAGGGGGAGGGGTGACAGAGGCAAAGGCAACGGGAACCTGGCAGGGCCCTAAGGAAGGGTGGCCAGCCACATCACTGTAGGCCACTCAGGGTACGCACAGGCTGGGATAATGGCCATCCCCACCCTCATTCCCTACAACTCCCTGGGAGTCTCTCCAGGCTGGCCAGGCTGCAGGCCCGTCCCCAAGCCTTGAATCCCCTCTAGCTGGCCACTTGCCTGGCAGCCTTTCAGACACAGCCCATAGTCGGCCTCCTCCAGGAGGGACGCCGGCTCCAGCGATTCCTCTCCTGCTGCTCACCTCCTCCCAGAACCCTCTAGCTGTGGCTGAGACCAGACTTCGGGGTCACCCTGATCTGGGTTTCAGACCCGGCTTCTCTACTCACTGACCAGTGCTTTTGAACATGTTGCTTAACTTTCTCAGTGTTGGTCTCAGCTTTCTCAGCCTCTCTGTCCTTAGCTTGTAAACTGCATGAAGATTTAAATGAAATAATGTACATAAGGTTCTTTGCGTGGAGTGCGGCTGACAGCAAACAGCTCAATCAAAGGTCATTATTATATTAGCTTGATTTATATCATTCTCTGATTCTTTTAGGTGTGGTCATTTTGGTAGCCACAATTTAGATCCCTGAAAGACAGGACCTGGATCTATTTTCATTATAGAAGAGACTTGGCTGGGCTTGTGGCTCACACCTGTAATCCCAGCACTTTGAGAGGTCGAGGTGGGCAGATCACCTGATGTCAGGAGTTTGAGACCAGCCTGGCCAATATAGCAAAACCTGTCTCTACTAAAAATACAAAAATTAGCCCAGGCAAAGTGACTCACTCCTGTAATCCCAGCACTTTAGGAGGCCAAGGCCAGCGGATCACCTGAGGTCAGAAATTTGAGACCAGCCTGACCACCATGGTGAAACACCGTTCTACTAAAAATACAAAAAATTAGCCAGGTGTGATGGCAGGAGCCTGTAATCCCAGCTACTTGGAAGGCTGCAGCAGAAGAATCGCTTGACCGCAGGAGGTGGAGGCTGCAGTGAGCTGAGATTGTACCACTGCACTCCAGCCTGGGCGACAGAGCGAGGCTTCATCTACAAAAAAATAAAAGAGAGAATCAATGGGAAGTGTTGGCTGTTTTCCTCAAAGACTGACTATTCATTCATCTGTCTGTCCACTCATCCACTCATCCATGCGGTGCATGAGCTCTATGCCAGGCACTCTGCTGATAGCTAAGGATGCAGGGGAATAACCACAGCCTGAGCCTTGGGGAAGCTCCCTGCAGAACAGGGGAGACACGCAAACTGCTGAGCCACGTGCTAGATGCTGTGTGGATGGTGGAGACCAAGTGCAGTGGAAACAGCCGGGCAGGAGCACGTGTGGGGGAAGCAGGCTTAGGGTCATTTACAGGGGAGATGGAGGGTGAATGGAGCATAAGAGAGCAGGAAGAATCTGTCAGCATGGGAAGGGAGAGGGCACGGCACGGTGGCAGACGGGACAGCTTACCTGAGCAAAGGCACAGAGGCATGACTGTGTGGGGCATGTCAGGGGAACAGCCAGTCACCCCTTTGGGTCCCTTTATCAGACTGGAAGGTATGTGTCCTGTTCTGGCTATGGTGAGGGCAGAGCTGGGTGAGCTGTGGGTGGGAGAGCCCAGGCTGCCTTGGGGGACTGGGAGCACAGCCCCACTAAGGAGGAGGGGTTTTGCATGTTTTCCTTCTCAAACTCACTTTCCTGAAGGAGGCCGCTGCTGGGGACACGGGGGGAAGGGGAAGGTGGAGTACGTGGCCCCACCCCATCCCTTTCACTTCCTTCTCCCTGTCCTGCCCCACCGGCTGCTACCCAGTCTACACTCACAGCTTGCCAGCCACACCCTGGGCTTTCTCTGGGCTCTGCTTGGGGAGCAGGCCTCGGCCCCACATGGGGCACCGCCTCTTACAGGCCGTTCATCAAGAAGGTGGGGGTGAATGGCAGGACCGTCTCCATCCAGGAAGGCTGCAAGAGGCAGAGAGTGCCCTGGGCTCTGAGGTTTGCTGGCCGCAGACCTGCTCTGGGGCTTTGGGTACACTCTCCTCCCCTCTCTGGGCCTCATTGTTTCTACTGGGAGAAGGAAGACCCTGGACCACATGAGTCTGAGACCCCAGCTTAGGCATTCTATGGGGCAGCTCCCAAGGATTCGAGCATCCTCCCCGTCAAAGCTGTTTGTCCTCACCTCTCCTCTCTAAACCTGTTCTCGCTGGAACATCACCTCCTCCCTGCAGTCACTGCCACTGGAGATGTGCCCAAGTCTCCATCCCTTGCCGCATGATTTCTGTCTCTCTCTGTTGTCAACAGGACCTGACACATCTTCCTGGAAGCCTGAGAGCCAACACACCTGCAGGCATTTGCTCAATATGTCTGCGGGTGAGTCTCAAAAGCAACCTAGGCACTGGGGAGACTGAGACTTCTAATTTAAACCTCCAAGTGCCTCCAGGAGCTTGGAGTTTGGTAGAAAGATGACGCAGATGAAAAACAGACCATGTGTAGGGACAGGAAGCTCTCAGGAGTGGAGAGAGGGGAGAAGAGCTGAATACTGTGGGGCAGATACAGTAAGAAGGAGGGGTGCGCTAGGATGAAGGAGGTGTAGAAAGCAGAGACTTCCGATGACTGAAATGTTTAAACAATAATCTGCATGGGCTGGGCACAGTGGCTCACACCTGTAAGTACTTTGGGAGGTTAAGGCAGATCACTTGAGTCCAGGAGTTCAAGACAACCTGGGCAACATAGTGAGACTCCCCCAATCTCTACCAAAAAAAAAAAAAATTAAGACATTAGCCAAGTGTGCTTGTGCATGCCTGTAGTCCCAGCTACTAGGGAGGCAGAGGCAGGAGAATCACGTGACCTGAGGTTGAGGTTGCAGTGAGCCGTTTTAATGCCACTGCACGCAAGCCCAGGCAACAGAGTGACACCTTGTCTAAATTAAAAAATAATAATAATAACAAAAAAATTTAAAAACCATCATGATACTGTGATGGTGGAAACATGACATTAAGCATTTGTCAAAGCCCATAGAATGCACAACACGAAGTGTGAGCCCTAATGTAAACGAGGGACAACAGTTAATAACATTGTGCCCATGTTGGTTCATCAGTTTTAACAAACATACCACACTAATGCAAATGTGAATAACGGGGTGGGGAGGGAGAGAATGGAAACTGCACCTTCTGCGCAATTTTTCTATAAACCTATATCTGCTGTAAAATATAAAATCTATTAAGAAAACAAAAGGCTAGGTGCAGTGGCTCACGCCTGTAATCCCAGCACTTTTCAAGGCCAAGGCAGGTGGATCACCTGAGGTCAGGAGTTCGAGACCAGCCTGGTCAACAAAGCGAAACCCCATCTGAACTAAAAATACAAAAATTAGCTGGGCATGGTGGCAGGCACTTGTAATCCCAGCTACTTGAGAGGCTGAGACAGGGAGAAGAGGTTGAGCTCAGGAGGCGGGGGTTGCAGTGACCCAACAGAACGAGATTCTGTCTCAAAAAAAAGAAAAAAAAAATTGGACCTTATTAAAAAAGCAAGAGCTGTCAACATAAAAACCTGGGCTCCCAGTTTCTTTTGATGGATCTGATGATCTACAACCCTGAGCTGAATCTGCACATGGAAAGAACAGGCCGCAGCTCAGGAGACGCAGCTCCTTTGCATGGGTACTCACCCTCAGGTTTGCTGAGGCGTCACTGCTCCTGCCAGGCTTGGCTGGGAGCTTTGGGGAGTTTGGGGACCTGGTGATAAAAATCAGGTGTCTGATCATGAAGTAACAGACCGGCAAATTCGGCTGGGGTCTTCGGAGTACTATTTCCCAGGTGCTGGTAAATGATGATATCAAACGGGAAATGATGAAGAATGGGAGGAAAACCAGGGCAGTTTTCAGACAAATTGAGTTTGATTTGCATGTATTTGCAGTTAAAAAAAATATGTGATTGCATCTTGGAGGAGATGTTGAAGCTGCAGATAAATTTCAGAGGGAGAGAAAAGTGACTTTCAAAGACCAGGGGATACTTGAGATCCCACAAAGGAGAAGAACAGACAGGTGAGCCCAAGGGAAAAAGCCAGGTTCATGGGATGATGTGGGAGAGGTGATGATAAGCAATTCATCCAGCATCTTAGTTTCCAGGGCAAATGGCTGTGAGTGGAAGATGTGGTGGGAGGAGAGGTAGATGGGGCTTAAGGAGACCGGAGGGGGCAGGTGTTTGGGGAGTGGTCAGGAACCAGCCAGGTGAAAGACAGGAGAACTTGGTAGGTTGCTTGGGTTAATGTAGTCCCTGAGCTCACCCTGCCCTGGGGCTGGTAGCAGAAATGAAGAGTGGGCAGGAATATGCTTGATCATTCATTCATTCATTCATTCAGCACACATTTCCTGAATACCTACTCTATGTCCAAAGCTGTGGTAGGAAAGATATGGGGAGGAAGAAGCAGACACAACAGTTCTGTCCCCTAAGAGATCACATTCTAGTGCAGATCCACACTAACAATTGCCACGTGGCACATCTCATGGTAAAACAGTGGTTACTGCAGACTCGCTACGTGCCTGGCTGCAGCCCCCGGGGGGGTGCTTGTTCCCTCTGCCAGAGAAACAAACATTCCTTATAGGTCAGTGCTGTGGGCCCCTGACCTATAAGGGTATGCAGCTGCCTGGAGATACAGAGTGTTTACAAAAATAGTGGTTATGCCTCTAGGGGAACATTGAGGAGGGCATTACGGAGTCAGGAGAAGACATCTTAAAGAAATGAAACTTGGAGCGGGGCATGGTGGCTCACACCTATAATCCCAGCACTTTGGGAGGCTGAGGCGGGTGAATCACCTGAGGTCAGGAGTTTAAGACCAGCCTGGCCAACAGGGTGAAACCCCGTCTCTACCAAAAATACAAAAATTAGCCAGGCATGGTGGCAGCCACCTGTAATTCCAGCTACTTGGGAGGCTGAGGCAGGAGCGTCACTTGAAACAGGGAGGAGGAGGTTGCAGTGAGCCAAGATCACCCCGCTGCACTCCAGCCTGCGCGACAGAGCAAGACTCCATTAAAAAAATAAAGAAAAGAAAAGAAATGAAGCTTGGGATAAGTCTAAAGAGTCAACAGGAGTGCAGCAGCCATGTGGGAGAGCTGAGTGTACAGCAGGACAGGGGCGTGGAGGCAGGAAGAGGGTGTGCAGTTCGGGGACCTGTCTGCAGTTCAGCACAGAAGTGGTGCAGGGGATGGAGTAGCAGGTGGCCAGAGGGGAGCCCAGAAAACAGAGACCAGATGAAGAATCGGTGTGAGCCGCACAGAGGCTGCCCGCCCCGATTGTGGTGGTAAGGAGAATGCTGAGGAATGAATACAGACTAATTTCAAACCCTGGCTCCATCATCTACTGTGTGCCCTTGGACAGATTCCTTAATCTCTGATTTTCTCATCACTTAAATGAGGATCATAAAAGTTTCATCAGCTCTAGTGAGGATGAAAAACCATGGTATCTACCAAATGATAAGGACTCAATAAAGGGCCATTATCACCATTGCATTTTACGCGGTCACAGGTTTGCATTAATGCTCTTTCCTGTGCCTCCGCCCTTGGCTTATAAGACAGCTTGAAAACAGACGGTTTCCCCTCCAGCTCTGATCCACCTCCCTAGCTGGAGCCGCGGCAAATGGGCGCTCCCGGTGTGAGGATGGCAGGGGGTTGCCATGGTGACCTCCCAGCTTGGCTTAGGACTTGAGTGTACTGAGCCTTTTTTTCTTTCTTTTTTCTTTCTTTTAAGCCCTAGCTATCCCAGCTATTCTAAATATTTACTGTGAGGCGATTATGACACATCTGAAAAAGCTGAATAATATTCCCTAGCACACTGCAGAGAAAAATGGAAAACAATCCACATTTCTGGCAACAAATAACTGGCTGGGTAACTTACGGCACAGCCATGCAAAACTGTACCGTGGGGCTGTTAAAAATGTACAGAACTGTGGTAACTGACAGGAAACGGCATCATGACAAGCTGTTAAATGAAAAACAGCAGGTTACAGAACAGCCTAAATCTCGTAATACCGTCTATATAAAATGATGCTACATTTAACTGCTTTGTATTTATGAACAGAAGGTTTAGAAGGCCGTTTGCTGTGGCTCTCTCTAGATGGTAGTGGTGGATCAGCAAATCTAGGCATTTGCTTTTCTCTCTACCTTTCTGTAACAACAGAGTTTGCCCACAATGAACATGAGTATTCTTTTTTCTTTTTCTTTCTTTCTTTTTCTTTTAACCCAATGCTATCAGAAGAAAAATAACTGAATGAGTCCTCTAACTCCTTGCCAATCGTAAAGGGATTGTGTCAGCCAGCCCTTGGGTTGCAAATGCTGGCATTTGCTTGTACACCCACCTGAGAAGGTCACAGGTGAGCCTTACTCTATGTGTCCGCATCCTGCCTGCTGGCCCAGGAGCACCACTGCTCCAGTGGCACCCCGTCCAGGGGTGCTGGGGACCGAGTCCTAAAGCCTAAGAGCTCATGCATTTGGAAAAGCCACCCCATTTCCCTGGCCAAAGGAGGAAAGAGGAGGCTCCCTTTCTCACCCCCATGGGTGAAGGTGGAGGCCGGTGGGAACACCCCCACTGGGAGCACAGCAGAGGCCATCTGTGAGTAGACCTATATCAAGCACTCACTGTGTGCCAGCCTCTGTGTTATCCCTGGAGACTCATGGAGATCCAGGCAGACTCTTGGCCTAGTGGACAGAGGGCTCCAGGAAGGACTTGTCCAAATCCTCCTCATTGTTCCTGCAAGGTTCTGTTCTCCTGCCCCATGATCTACACTTTATGTTCAAACAAGAAAATAGTGCAGTCCCCAGCAGTAGGTCCTGGAAAACCCCATTCCTTAGCATAGCCTCAAGCCCTCTGCAGTCCCCAGCCCCACTTCTCACCAGCCTTGCCACATGCCCATCCACTTCTCCTCCCCATCCTTAGTGCACCAGGAACCCACCCCTACGTGCTCACTGTGCTTGCCGTTTGCACTGGATAAGACATCTCTTCCTCCATCTTCTCTTCTTGGTAGAATTCCTCTCTTCCTCCTCCTCCTTCCCTTTTCTTCTCCTTCTCCTTTTCCTTCTCCTTCCTCCTCTTGTTCTTCTCTTCTTCTCTCCTTCTCCTTCTCCTTTCTTCCCCCTCTTATTCTTCTGATGGTGTCACTCTGTCACCACGCCTGGAGTGCGGTGGTGCAAACACAGCTCACTGCAGCCTCAATCTCCTAGGCTGAAATGCTCCTCTCACCACAGCCTTCCCCTCCTGAGTAGCTGGGACCACAGGCACACACCACCATGCCTGGCTAATTTTTTTTTTTTTTTTTT